GTCACGGTCGTGGACAAGCAGTGCCAGGACATGGTCTTTGCGCGGATCCAGGCGTCGTTCCCGAGCCACGAGTGCCTGGGCGAGGAGGACGTGGCGCCGGGGAGCGCGGCCGCGGCCCAGGCCCTCGAGGCCCTCGTGAGCAAAGAGTGGCTCTGGATCGTGGACCCGATCGACGGCACGACGAACTTTGTGCACCACCGACCAGCGAGCGTCGTGTCGGTCGCGTGTGCCCACTACGGCGACGTGACAGTGGGCGTCGTCTACGACCCGTACCGCGACGAGCTCTTCACGGCGCAAAAGGGCCGCGGCGCGTTACTGAACGGCCGCCCGATGCACGCGAGCCACGAGACGTCGTTCGCTCATGCGTTGGTGGGCTTTGGCATCGGCACGAAGGACAGCGTGCGGCTGCCCATGCTCGAGTGTGCGCGCGAGTTCTCTGCGCAATGCCGGGGCTTGCGGCTGCAGGGCGCAGCAGCCATCGAACTCGCGTGGACCGCTGCTGGCCGCCAATCGGTGCGTTAGACGTACATATGCTGCAACGCGTCGCAGCGCCAGTGTCGCATATGTGTCTATGAGTGACGTCACGTGACGTGACGTGGCGCTTTGTCGATGGCTTTTGTCTATCCATGTCATTCTGACCCGTGTGTGTGTGTCCTGTGTGCTGGTGCTCCGCAGGCCTTTTACGAGCTCGACCTGAACTCGTGGGACGTTGCAGCCGGCGCGTTGCTGGTAACTGAGGCCGGGGGACGCGTGACCAACAGCGACGGCACATCCTTCTCGCTCGCTACGCGCAACGTCGTGGCGTCGAACGGCAAAGGCGACGTCCACTCGCGCATGATTGAGCTCATCGACAAGGCCGACGCCGTGCAAGTGCGCGCCTAAGGAAGTTGCCAACGAGGGTCAATCGTCACCTCTCTGCGTCTAGAAGAAGTCTCTCTCTCTCACACTCTCTCGGTCGAATGCCACGTTGAGCACCTGACGTCGGATCCGACCGCAACCAGTCCGTCGGCCGCTTTGGTTTTCGACTTCAGGGATACCACTGCTCGCACCCAAACACACACCTGCACACCCACAAACGCACACACTGTCGTCCGTCCGTCCGTCCGTCCGTCAGCAGACCGACCGACCGGCCGGCCCATCGATCGTCTTGATCGGCACCGCAAACAATCGGTCCGTCCGTCCGTCTGTCCGTCCGTCTGTCGGTCCTGTCTGTCTGTCTGTCTGTCAACAAGTGACGCACTCGCCCTCTCATAGCTCAGTCCAATCCGTTCGGACCTCCGCGTCCGTCGCCCTCGTCCCCTCGTCCGCGTGCTGCCCCACTCTCGATATCCCCTGCAGCAGCAGCCGCCGTCATGTCGCTCGACCCAACGCACGAGCCGCTCGCGACGGCGGCCCCGTACCCAATCACCACGTGGTTCTTCCTGTGCGGCCCCCTGGCCGCCACCGTCTTCCTGCTGGGACTGGCCGCGAACCTGCACGTCTTCCAGCGCCAGCGCTTGGCCTTCGACCGGGTCCTCGACATGCGGCCGGACGAGGTGCCCCAAGCGCGCGGCATCTGCCAGACGGCGCTCTTCCTGCTCCTCACGCAGCTCGTGCTCTTCAACGCGTACGCCGCCCAACGCGGCCGCGCGTTCGGACACGACGAGACGCACACGGAGCTGCTGCTGTTGGGTTACGTGGCCGTCGCAGCCGCTCTGCTCGTGTGTCCGCTGGACGTGCTGCACTACAAGTTCCGGCGCTACGTCGTGCGGAAGCTCACGCGCTGTCTGTGGCCCTTTCAGCGCTGGTCGCTGCAGCTGCCGGCGCACGCGACGCCGTTCAGTGAGGTCTTTCTCGCGGACGGCCTCACATCGCTGTCCAAGTGCAGTCAGGACCTGGCGGTCGCGCTCCTGCTGCTCGTGCGGTCGCTCACTGTGGAGCCAAAAGAGCTGCACGCGTCGTACCTTTCCAAGCTGAAGGAGTCGCCGCTGCCGTATTTCGCAGCCAGTGCGCCGTACATGTGAGTAAGGAGAAGGAGAAGGAGATGGAGGAGGAGATGGGGATGGCGAGATGGAGGAGGAGGAGATGGCGAGATGGCAGCTGGTCGTTGTGCTCATATACAGTGCTTTGTATGCGTTTTTTGCTGCAGCCTCCGCGCGACGCAGTGTCTGATCTCGTTCCAGCGCACAACCAGCGCGAACGACCGCTTCCTACACCTGCTCAACACGATGAAGTACTGCTCCAGTTTGCTGGTGATCTCCGTGGGCGCTCAGCCGATGCTCAGGGGGCTCGCGCGGCCCGAACACAGCAGTTTCTTTCTGCTCTGTGCCGTGTTCAACTCGCTCTACTCGTTCCTATGGGACGTCATCATGGACTGGGGCCTGGGCCAGCCGCACCTGCCCCGACGAGTGGTCTTCTTGCGGCACCAGCTGACATACCGCCCACGTCAGGTGTACTACCTGATCATCCTCGTGGACTTTGCGCTCCGCATTATGTGGGTGACCAAATGGTGGGACTGGATGCACATTGGCGTGCACTTTAAACTCGTCTCGCAGGTCGCGGAGGTCGTGCGGCGTATCATGTGGAACTTTGTGCGTGTGGAGTGGGAGTGCATGAAGCTCGACATCCTGAGCAGCAAGAAGACGGAGACCTCCGCAGACACTCTGAAGCTCGAGAGGAGCATTGAAAAGAGGCCAATGATGATGGGGCACGATGAAGTCGATGCGTCGGAAGTGCTGAAGTCCAGAACCACATCGCTCGGGCGTCCCGATCCCTTCTCGAGTGAGCACAGCGGCAATGAAACCAGCAGTACGTCAAGTCAGAGCCCTAGCGACGGTAGCAATCTGCTCTTCCACATGACGAGACACGCTCGTGCTGTCGACGGTAGTAGTCATCGAAACGACAGGACACAACAGGATCGAGAGACTGCATCGGCGGCCATCACTGTCGCTAGCTATTCCGGAAAGCTACAGGCGATGCTGGTGGGCGGGCGAAAGTTCGCTGCGTCGACTTCTGTTCGATGATAAGCATCTCAGACCCGACAAAGCGACTCTGGTGTCGCGGAGACCAACGGACAAACGAACGGCAGTCTTTGAAGTACGCAACGAGCTATACGCTGACTCGGCAGGTATGATGGCGCAGCTGCGTCACGATCTGCTCGACATCGTGGAACGGGCTCTGTCTGCGTTCAGCTTCAGTGCACGTCCGCGCTTTCCACACACCGTTTGAGCGGCGTGAGTGCCGAGCGCAGTTCGCTCGCCAGAGCGTGGAGCGCTCCGATCTGCGGCGAGTTGGGCGCCACGAGCGTGATCACCAGCGGCGCATGGTTGACGTGGATCAGCACGACGTCGTCGAAGAAGGCCGTGACGCTCTGCACAGCCCCAAACTTGAGCTTTCCGACCTGATTCAGCATCCGTCAGGCTGCATATCCCTCGTGTCCAGTGCAGTAGCTGCATCGAATGGGGCTCACCTGCTCGGCCGCCCCAGCAAAGACCGTGGGCAGCACTGTCTCCGTGTACTCGTACGACAGCTCCGACGTGTCGTCCGCCGCCACTGCACCAGTAGCACATTCATTGCGACGGGTTAGAGACGGACACAACAAGTTGCAGCTGTCGTGCGTGTGACGTGGCCGACCTTTGAGGAGCGGGACACCTTCCGAAGTGCACACGAGAATGGCCTCCAGCGCGTCGTATCTGCCGCGTACGAGTCGGTCAGTCAGTCAGTCAGTCAGTCAGTCGGTGCAGACAGAGGGCGAACAGTGGGGCAAAGCGGGACGACGGGACCTGTTCAATACGTCGCTGAGCTTCTCGTGCAGAACGGGACTCTACGGCCACGCGAAGATGGTGTCAGTCGCTTAGGGGGTACACGATCGAGCGAGTTGGGTCAGGCGACGTACCATCTCGGCCGCGGTTTCCATGGTCGCTCGAGAGGCAAATTCGGTGTGAAAAGGCTGTAGAGCAGTGGAGTGTGAATTGCGTGCATTTATCACTATTTCGCTGTGGAATTTTGTGCGAGGGTACACTCACGTTACCGTCCACCGCTAATCATCGGCGAACAGAGCGACTTGAACAATAACGTGACGCCCAGCAACGGTCTCAACTCGAACGCGCTAAATTAGGACTGAGGGACGCAGCTCTTGCTAAGGCGACTAACATGTCGGTGACGAAAACAGCGACCTTTGTAATGGTCGTAGACATACCTTCATCGTATGACTCATTGGTCTTGTGCCGAAAGCAAATTGCGTACTGAGTATCGTTACACTTGGTAAAACGACCTGTGGGGTAAGATGTCATCGAACCCACTGGCAAGTTCTTCCGACTTTAGAAGAGAGTGCGTAGGGCAAGTGCAATCAGTAAGTCAAGGACGTTTGTAAGCGCAGTCGGGATATGTAGCTTTCCACAGAGAAGCCGATATTTTACATTGAAGATGCTACGCGCATAAAGCGCACTATTTGAGATCGTAAGAAGCATTATCGCTTAGCTCAGCTGTATCTCGAGCCAAATCGATTGTGTGCAATGTCGAGAGAACTTATCGGTCGTTTAGCAAAGTGGAGCTGTTTGGAAGAAGAGTGTAGATAACAGGGGTGCGGCAGATTCGTTGCACAGGTACGACATGGACGAGTTTTACATCATAGCAAGCCAATGTCGTTCTACGAAAGCGCCTTCTTGCGTAGCTTGTATTAACAAATGGAGTCGGTGAAGGCGTTAGCGTATTCTGCTACTTTTGCCGTCATCATGATACCTTGCCCCCTTTCGCGGAGCCTTTACGAGCGTTGGTCTGTCAGTCTTGCTTGAATCGAAAAAACACGTGGTATACTTTAATTACTCACTAGATTCGACACTTACTCATAAGTCCTGACAGACAGTTCGACGCACCCACTCGTCTAAGCAGATAAATCGGTATACTTTCTCGTCTTCTCACGCGGTAGCAACGCGTTTAAATGTCCTTCGGCTACGCAACATAGATGGAGGCAAACACCTCGCACACGAGGATCACATTCCTAGCCCCGCAAAACACCAAGCCTAGGTGGCCACCATTTGATATCGCTCCGATATATCCAAGCTGCGCGCTCTAAGATCGTCTGACGTTTCGTGATGCCTCAGCATTACGGCCACTTCGTCGGGTGACAGGCCCCTCTCCGCCCAATTATTCATCAACGTCTTCAGCGATCTATATGGAAGGCCAGTGTCATCAGGAGTTGCGAAGTTCCGCCTGAAGATTAGTGACGATCGCGCGTCGCCAAAGTTCTCCAGCATCGTCTCAACTAGCGAGCCGACCGTTTTGCCTTCCCGCTTGTTGAAGTACTTGATATAGGAGTCAAGCACCATCAGTTGCTCGTACTCAATGGGAACGGGGTACTTGCCACGTCGTTGTAGCAGGAGAAGCACGTTGTCGAAAGATTTTTCCTCCTTGTACCATTTCTCCATTAGGTGTGCGAGCAAGTCCTCGGCAGCAGTGCCGTAGGTAGGGCGCTTGAACCTGATGAATCTCGCTGCCATGTAGGCCACGAGGCTGTCATCGTAGTCCTGTAAGTCCGATATTGGTGATTTGCCGCGAGAGGGAATGCTCCATAGGGTTTCCAGCTTCTCATTCAAGTCCATTATCTGCTTCCAATCAGCTTGCTTCTCGATCGGCTCAAGGGCTTTCGCCTCATCCCTCTTGGCTTCTCTGACTTTATTGTGCCACAGGTTGCTATCTCTTTCCAAAGACGCCATAAGCAGTGGCCTTGAGTTCGTTGAGTGGAAGTGGCTGATAATCCGCTTCAGGTCAGCAACCAGGGAATCAATGAACGAAAGACAACCCATCCTGTCTTCATCGCCCTGGGTTCCTCGGGCTCTAATCATCGCTTGGACGGGGACGGTCTCGTGGCTATTGTCGTCTGAAGTCGGAGAGATCATGGCTGGAGCAGCGGAATTGGACACTGTTGAGGAACTCTTGCTGCACGTCACTGTTGCTACGATGGCCACGAGCACAGTGAAGTCGATCCGCATCGTGGGAGTGTTGCTACGTTCTCTTAGAGAGGATGCAAGTTGCAAAGTGCCCGCTGCTCGAGGCCAACCAAGTTGCAAAGCTGGGCGCCCATGGTGCAATGTGGGAGTTTGTGAATAGAACGCACGGGCTCTATCGGATGCTCCTCTTCATGTTGCAGTGCATCACAAGTTCAAATCATGTGCGTGTCGATGCACTATCTGCCTGGTGCCGGATCAGCTGTTGTCCAACCTTCACTTCGTCGCGGGTGAGTTTTGTGCCACCCAGCACCTGCTCTGGCCGCAGTGCATGACGACCTCACAGGAAGGGCAGGTAGCAAACAGGCTGCACGAGACCTTTGATCTCGTTTTCGGTAAGTAAAGCTGAACGGATATCAAGGCAGCGTGACCTGCGACAACATTGAGGTAACGCCAACAGACTATTTTCTTTGTTCAAAACCAAGCCGCTTAGCGTACATCCATGCAGACGATTCGCACGAGACAAAAATGAACTTCTTCCTGTGCTCCCCATACGTTCTCGCCAAAACGGTTTGCGGAACTAGGATACACGAACGCACCAGCCGCTACGATGGTCTAGGAACACCGCCGTGGAAGACGCTAGGCACGATGTTGCGGTCAAGTAATGCCTCAAAGCAAGAGCTGCCCATCACCACCAAAGAAATGCGAGCGTGTGTAAAATCGGCAAAGGAATCTTCGTCGTTATTTTCGTCCTGCTTCTACACCCGATCGCCCACCGGCTCTGCGGTGCTGCAATGTGCCAAAGTGGGTCATCACATGGGGCAATCGTCACGGCGAGCAGCTGACTAGCCGTGTGATATGTCTCGTTCCAGTGAACAGCTGCATTTGAGTCAGTGGCGATCGTCTTAGAGAGAAGCGAATACATCTATCGCCCAGTCGGCCAGGTACAAAGCCCCACAATCTCGTATTTTGTTTTCATGACAGCGTTGTGACTGATTAACTCAGGATACACTGCTATCGTGAGGGCCCATTGTGTGACCTGTAGTGCCATCATCATGTCCATGAAGGGTCGCAACAGGACGGCAAAATGCTCGGAGCACATGGTCACGGCACGACATAAACGCTTGACGCAACTGACTCTTAGATGGTGAGCAGTCGGTGCTTCCTACACCTGCATTATTCCCAGCCTAAGCTTCGCCGGTGGGCGACAGCAATTTTATTGGCGTCTCCGTTGTGTACGGTTGGATCAGAATTGGGCGTGGCGTCAGCATTATCTCTTCGGCATCCCCCGCCATTTCGTTATGAATATGACTGGGTCACTGTGAGTCGGGGTTGCGTCGTGGGAGCTCGCCGGAATTCACTTGTGGAGGGAGACGGTACGGTGCGGTTACGCCAGGGCTCTAATGGGCTGCATTGGTTGTTTCAAGAAGGCCTACCCGAGCTCCACACGGTGTCGGACGGTGACAGCCAGAGATGGGCTACGCACATCAGGCACCATGGCGTGGTCTTTTATGCTCACCCAAGTCACCACCACTTTGCGTGGGGAGTACCCGAAACGGTTACTAATGGAGCTCTCCGTCAGGCTATTTTGCACCGGGCTTTTTCGCTGCACAAACACCGACTAACTCGACCTTTACTACCCTTATTGGAGCGGCTGGATGCAGTCTATCGAGAGGATTTGTGGCAACGGGCGGCGGCGCATCAGCAACCATCCCAACTTTGGAAACATGACAACGGACTCTCCGACTATCAAGTTTGGACGGCGTATCGAGTCGCCACCAAGCAGCTTAATTTTTTCCATGCCGGGCGGGCTACCGACCCCAGCTGCCGGGCCCTGTCTGCGTGTCACGGGGTGCCCGAAACGTCGAGGCACGTTTTTTGGGATTGTCAGAGGGCGCGGGCGTGTTGGGCTAAGTTCATCAGCCATTGGATTGGCGCTTCTGTGTCGAGTGCAGTAGTAGATAGTCGTCTCAGCAACTGTGCGAATCGCCAGGCTCCGGCGATTCCGGCGTTTCAGCGGTCTCGGTTGCTCGAGCGATTTCAAGATGATGCCGCAGCGGGCGAAATGGTGTGGCGACGGATTTGGTTTTTGATGTGTTCCATTTGCATTACGCATTTATGGAGCGAGCGCAACGATGCAGTGTTTAGAGGCGTGCAGTCTACGACGGCTCAAAGTGTCGTCCATTTCTGGACTGCGGGCGTCCGTCAATTAACGGCCTTGGCTATGCGTGAGCATAGAGGGGCGTCGACAGTTCTTCAAGGGGCTAGATTACATGCCTCCCTTGAACTTTTTACTCTTGATGCTAGCGGGGTTTCGCTACCACTAGAGGGGTGCCTTGAACCACCGCCGCGACCGGCGCTGTATTCTCGGCTTAGAAGATTTCAGACTTCTAGCGCATAACCATCCTGTGTAATAGATAGTCATTAATCTCTCTCTTCCTACACCTGCATTGTAGTAGGCAAGATTCAGCAGTTTTTTGATACGGCAGATTGCGTCATGCGCAGATCAGCCAAATATTTAGACTACCCATTGCGCGCGAATCTACCATGCCACTTTTCTCGCGTCTTCTCTTCCGGCTTGTGTAAGGACCAGCAGTCGCACCGAACGGATCAGCACAAACTCCGGAGCTAGCCAGCTCGACAGAATGGATGTCCTCGTGGAGCCGGAGACGTTGCGAAGAGGTCGTTCATCACGTAACACTATTGCGATGTCCGGGCATGATGGCCCAACAGGATGAAGACAGTATAGCTTACATACACGCAGCTTGAGACCAACATGCTTGTGGGTCAAGCATGTACTATGCAACGTCAGGATGATCAATACGCTGCAGATCGAGGCTTGTTAAGCACTCGACATCGTTTTGAGACAAGATGGTTGTTTTATAACGACGCCAGGTTGAAGCCTTACTGCAGTCGGAGACGATATGTTTCGAACAGCAATATATCAACGTGCATGTCGTTGAGGTCATCCTAATGGCGTTAGTGCGCGATGCTATTCGCGACCGGCCGTCGTTGGTTCATGCTCCTCTAAACTAGACGTGATCCAGAGAGAGCAGATCCTCTGCGTCAGGTTCAAGCAGCGTCCTGTACCACGATATCGCTGCCTAGCTGTGGCCCTTCCATGCCGCTCAACCGAGATGATCGATGTGATACATTGATCTCCGTGCCTGTAATGCCAAATCTGCATGTTTAACAGCAAAGATTTTGCGTAATAGCCACCACAGGACTAATTCACTTTTGTTGTTCACCTTGATCAAGACGTGTGCTCGCGAGGCTGCCTCGTCGAACCTGCTGAATTGGTGACGGCAGGACGAAGCGAAACGACCAACCGTGCATCTCATGGTTCGATAACATGATAGAGAGCGTTGACATAGGCCGGATTCTAGCTCGACGCCGGCGCCGTCATCGCGGGTACGAACTTCACCCCGGACGATGTGCACACTTTGTCGGCCCGATAGCATAAAGGACGAAACGATGTGTTTTGGCACAAAGGCTTCTGTCTACCGTGTGGGGTGCAGATCCGACGACGCTACGGTGACGTTTGGGCCAGCGCGCCTTTTACTTTGAAACAACTTTGTGCAGACGTTCGTGAAGTGTACTTCACAGTGAGTTTTACCTACTTCTGCCAAGGTTCGTGACCAGCACGAAGATGGAAATTGTACTGTTACCGAATATGACGTTCGAATAGGCGTTGGCCTCGATCTCTTGGAGCGCGTTTTAGTTGTTCTCGAGTACCTTCTCGCTGTCGACTTGAGCCTGGATTGTTTGTCAAGACGTACCTTTCTCTCTGTTTTCGTTGCTTTGTTTAGCACATGCTGCCAAAGTTGGATATAGAGCGGAAAACTATTGTGGCGATCAAAACATGTATGGATAGCATCTATACAAACCAAGAATGGAGCACTTTAGGTTTGTAGTGAAGTTCTAAGCAATTTACTGCTCCGTCTTGGTTATTGTGAATGTCTCGGCTCCGCACTTCACTCGTGCATATTAAAGAGTAATTACATGTCGATATCGACTGGAAGCACCTCACTCAAAGCGCACATGAAGATTGCGTACTCCGTTGTGCGCTTAGTGAGTATGGCTTCAGGCTAGTGTCGTTCCACCATTTTGTAGCGCCATAAATCTGTCATCAATAGCATCGACTACTTCGTGACGCTTCCGTGTGCAAAGTGAGTCAGCATGTACGCCGCATTGCGACCAACTTCGCGTAACCACGCATCGTGACTCGCGGTGTGATGCGTGTTGGCAATGGACGAGGTCTTAGGATGCACGATCATAGTTGCTTTGTTTATGCGTGTCCGCGAACGGTGATCGAAAGGACTAGGCCATCACTGCACGGCTTCCTATCAGCAAATGGACATTCACTCAAAATCTACTGTCACTTGGAGGACAAGATGCTGGTTGCGGACTTGAGGTAAGGGGCTTCTCGCCGGTTCATGCAAAGCTTGATTGGTATGCTTGGAACCGCAGTTACACATAAAATCTGGCGCAGGATTCCTGACTTGTTCAACACATCTGTAATGACGACTGCGACGGGCGACTTGAATCACCACCATGTACTGTCCAAGCAGCCATAACGCATGCACTGGTGCGGCAGTTAGCACAACATGTTATGTAGACTGTAAGTAATTAATTAAGTACATCGTTCTGCGTTTGCACCTAGGAACGAAAGAAAATACAATTACACGCTCGTCTACTTTACGGTAGAATCGGTTGTACTGTAGATATCATCGGCGTGGTCAACCTAGAACGTACTTGAGATCGTCGCTTCACGGCTTGTGTCTAATGAATCGTTTTCCATCGCTAGTGAAAATTGGCATAATACTATATACTGACCACGGTCTTTCGCTATACTTTAGAGGCGACGCACGCCAATTGTGATGGAGCTGTCGAGGATCGGGATCGGATTGCCGGGGGCCTGGTCGCCAGCGCGGTAGACTTCGGGCTTTTGT